GGTAAGAATGAAAATCATTTTCTTGACATAAATTTCTCTCAATTACTATTTGTCTGCCTCGCTTCCAGGTAGAAACACTTTTAAATTTGCACATCCCTTCAATTTGCTAAGATGAAAAAGAGCAAAGAACTGGCATATCTCTCAATATGAGGGAGGATTCCAACCGTTCTGCTGTGACAGTACTTCTTGCAAGAAGATAGCAGATAAAGCACATCTTTTTCAAGTCTCTGCTGCCATCTGTTTTCCTTCTGTTTTCACAGACCTATCATTTCATCTGTTCTCTGTCACCTTGGATTTTGAAATAATATGTAGACCTCTGTTCCTCACAAAATGTTTGGTAAAGTGTCAAGACAGTGTGCTGAAGACATGCTGTCTGCTATCCCATTTCTTCACATATTACAAGGCAATGAGAAGCTAGGCCAAGGAAGAAATGATGGCATGGTGCTGTGAAATGCCATCATGCATCAGAGAAGACGCTTTACATAGTTGTGCATTCTTTCCTATTTTGTGATACTAAACACCTTGATGATTACTGTCTTTCAGGAAGAGAACAACTGACATCTATTTCATCATACACATTACTTCTGATATCAGCGATAGCAGCAAGTCTCATACTTTTCTTCTGCATCATGTAAGTCTTATTTCTCGTGCAAAACTTGTATTCTGGATTCTAATGTGAAATAACTCTTCTTTTTTTTCCCAGCAGAAATATTCTGATATCTCTTAAGTAGAGGAGACAGGGGGAAAGGTGATACTGAATTATAGCAGGTATCATGATGTCCTGGCCATAGAGCATCAAGTGGCCTCTGTATTTCTGATTCCCAATGCTTTTTTAACTACTTGATCAACATAGCACAACTCCTTCCAACAGAGATATGAGGTCTTAGATAAGTTCCTCTTTAGTTTCTGCCTTTAGGCACTGTAGTGTAGAGGGTGACAAGTAAAATTATTTCCTTGGTTTAAGGATATTTCTGTCTCAGAGGATAAAGAAAAGCAACTTCCTATAACTCTTTAACAAATCATAAAATAAACTGCAAAAATCCAAATGCTGAACAATGAACCAAAGCCACTGGTTTTGATTCATGTAATTTTTAGATACTTTTTCATTATTTTTGTCCCAGAGAAAGAAAATAAGGCCTCAGTGTTATAATAATAGAATACATTTTTATAAGTTTGTATATTGAGTCTTTTCTTCTCCACCTTTTTTTGACCCTGTAGAACCATTTATTTGAAAACAGTACCTGCTATCGTACTACAGCCAAAAGACCTGTTCCATGATATCTCTCCAGTGAATTTCCAGGTATGTTTTCTTTCCATTTCTCTGAATTTTTTTGTAAAGAAGGATCCATTGCAGTCTCAACTATATGAACTAAGTGTCAGAGAAATGTATATAAGCACAAAATATATTTCTTTCTTTTTTGTCTGTTGGGGTATCAAAAGATGAGCTCCGTATACAAATAATTCTCCTTGTTCTCCTTTTCCATTCAAAGATATTTGGTATTGGTTAAATAATCTATTTCACCCAGCTCTCCATAGCCTAAGCTTCTCAGCACAATACTAATGTAGATCCAGACTGCTGGTAGCTATGCAGAGAGACACAGAGAAATTTACTTCTGGTTAAAAATACTTCTCTTGTAGCAGATGTTGAGACCACGTTAGTATTTGGCAATGCTGCTGAAGGAGGAGAATTTTCCAGGATATGGCAAGCAAGAAAGTACAGCAGAAAGCTGAGAGGTTTTGATCTGTGCAGAGTGCTTGAGTGACTTACGAGAACAAGGAAAACATCACAAGTAAAAATGGGAGAACTGCCAGTCTGGAAAGCATTGTGCAAAATGCTTTGTTGCCACAATTCAGATAGTATTTTAGCTGGCAATGAGTAGGTCTGGAAGCAAGAACATGCCTACAAGGACATACTGGAAGCTTCTATAAATCGTACTTTCATTTCCTAAGTCACATGAACCTTGTTAGATCCAGAGTCGCTTTTGTAAAAGTTCTTTGGTCCCTTCTGGGGAGCTCATCATGAAGGGAAGATATATATTCATCTACTCCAGTCCTCTCATTGCCAGAGTCCCACTACATCTTCTATATAATACGTAAATAATAACAATTTGAATAATAGAAGATTCAAAATTATAAACTAGTGATCAATCTCATGCATAAAATGTTAATGAAATATTTTATTTCTCTTTTAATAGACAGAGAATCAATTCATAAAGCATGAAACTGAAGAAATAATAATTATTGAAGAAGCAGCATAATGGCATGCAAGAGAAGAAAGTTTTCTTTTTTATGCAAATGATTATATATGTACTTGTTGGCATTAATTTACAGGTTTTTGATATCCTCCCTCTTGTAAGCAGCATTGCCTGATCAGGCCAATCTTCTATAATCTGTCATTAAAAAAGCTTTGTATTATTTGCTTGGAAATAATATTAATTTCTGTAAGTATTTTGAGCTATATACTCCAACTAGTGGAATACTCTAACTAGTAAGGAGATATCAAACAGAATCATTAATATGGGGTTTAATCATACATTGCACTTCAATAGATGAATCATTTACATTGGGAAAACCGTGAGTTAGATGTCATGTATTACCATGGATTGCCCAGTGCCATGCCTACATCCCATCTCTTATCTCCCCCATGCTTGTATACCTCATTGCCATATCCTGTGTCTCCCCTTCTGGAGTGTTTAGCACTCATCCAAACTTATACTGCAATGGTACCTTGATGGTAGCACACAAAGGTAAACGTAAATCAAAAAAGCTACAGACACTTGCTTAATGATCTGTTATTAGTAATGGAAATACCATATTACTGAGCTACAGGATTACAAGAGCTGAGCTACTTACACTTCTGTTATAAGTGATCTATTTTTCCTCATGTCAGCATTACTTGAAATCTCCCTCAAGAATAAATACTGAAAAACTTCTATGCCTACTAAGCAATTCTGTTCAATTCTGTTCCAGACTGGCTTTTCCTATGCCTTATCTGAAATTTCTAAAACAACTACTTCTGAAATGAATTTGATATGTTTTTTTCTGTGTTTCTATCAGGAAAGAAAAAGATTTAAAAAAAAAGGAAAAAAAAGGAAAAAAAAAAAAAAAAGTAAGAAAACATGCAAGCAAACAAAAACACAACCATAAAATAAACCCTGGCACACTGGAATGTCTCAAATGATTTGCATGTTCAAATTGCATCCTTGTAAAACAGGAGAGGTGCTGACGAGGTTAAGAAAAAAGTATGCCAGATTTTAAAAAATGCTCAGTATGGATACATGTAACTGAAGCATGAGTTTCTTCTAACTGAATTGGAGCTTCCAATGGGAATTTCACTTCTGCCCAGAGTATAGCCCTGGCTAGAGAGAAACATGCCTTGAGTCATGCCATAATGACATAAACTAAGTCCATCAGACAGGCACCAAGACAGCTTCTGCAGCATAGGAAATCCCCAGTGTCAGAAGGAAGCAATCGGGGACACAAGTCACAGAGATCTGAGTCCATGAGTTATGAGAGGATGGTTCTGGCATAAAAGAATCTGTGTAGGGCAAAGGTAGCAGATGCCAAGAACCGTTAGAGAGGTTAATTGAGACTCAAAGGGAGGAACTCTAGTCTGTGTCATGATATCCAAAACACAGTAAGAGGACGAAGGATATAAGGAAGATAAATCTAGGCTGCTGGCAGACAAGCTAAACACTATTTTCATGACATCTCACATATATATTATGCTATTTGCCTTCCTCTTTTTTCTCAGGATCTTAAAGTCTACCACATCGCGGTCCTTGCAGTCACGATTGCAAATGACTGTCATATCCTTGACCAACTCTTCTTTGATGAGTTACAAATCCAAATGAGTATCTTCTGTATTTGGTCTGTCCAGCATCTGTATCAAAATATGATTCCTGATGATCTCTCTAATTCTCCGTACCCTGCCATGTTGCCCTTCCAGCAGATTTCAGGATGGTTAAAATCATTTGAGGCAGCTGAAACCCCATCTTAATAGACAAAATTCAGTGATAGTGATAAACATCCGCTAGCCCATGATCAAGATGTTTCCTTTGAAGCCAGATTTTTCTGATTCCATGTTTCTAAATAAGTCTTAATGGACTATTTCTTTTGGATAATTTTAAAAATAGAAGTTAAAATGGAGCATACTCTTTAAATTATAACTTATTAACAGTAAGAACTTCTGCATCACAAATGTCCAACTAAAACCAAAACTTACTATAGAAATCAAAACATAAGGTCTACTGGATCCTCTCTATTCTGTTTCACAATCATGACCATTAGTGAACTATTTACACCCCCTTTGCTTTTGCTAGGGAAGCTGTTGAGGCTACAAAGCCCCTTCAGAAACCTGGAATTCATTTCCAATGTCCTGATGAGAACAACAGAATTCCTATTCATGAGACAGAGGAGGTGGGAGTAGTTGAGGTTACAGCATCTCTTTCCTGTTCTTGGGCAAAGGCCTAAAGTAATGATCGCTGGAAAAGGGTGGTCAGGATATGTAACCTTCTAACTATGTGATTCAGATGTTCACGCAGACAGAAGTCTTGTATTCTGGTCCCCTGTTGCTATTCCTTTGTTCTGATATGGAAAACATCATTTTCTGAAAAAGAGGAAGTAGTGCAAGTACCAAGAAGAATGTTGCAATCTATACAAAAGCTGTAATATATTGCCAGAAAGAATGTTTAGACAGCTCTTGTGAGCACTCCTATTGCTGTTGGATGAATAAAATATTCTTCAAGCTTTAGGATTTTCTAGGAAAGTTGTGTTAATTCTGATCTGGCAGTGGCAGGATCATCATGGGTCTCAAAGAACCGAAAGCTGAATACACTCTCATTATCTCTGTAATTCTGAAAAGAGCCTATTCTTCACCTGCTGGGTTACACTAAGGCCACTCCACACAGATTTCTTGGACTTCACGGCTTTGATAATGTCAATTGCAACAGTTTTGCTTAGTGATTTTTTTTTTTTTAATTTGTTTATATTTTTTAAAATCTCAGGAAGGATTTGCCCTAAATATAGACAAGCAAAGAAATCCCCTGGGTAACAGAGTTCCTTTGTGGTGGTAACAGTACTATTCTTGTGGGTTGTTTGGCTTGTTCTCCTACAATATATTCTAGTTAAAAAAAAAAAAAAAATAGCATATTCTCACCCCAAAACCTCAAAACCCCTACTTCCTCAATGTGTTGCTTAGATGCATAATCTCAGAAAGTACCAGAGTGCTGCTCTTCTATTATTTGCTATAAGTTTGTGAGCTCTTCAGAGTGGGTACATAAGGCTCAAGTCGCTACTTAGTTGAGTTGCACTGGAGAAAAGGAACCCAGCGCTGCATGGATGTGTTTCTCTTTGTTCACTCATTCTAAGAGATGTAATTGGGAGGACTCGAAATCTGGAAGTTGACAGCACTTCCCAGAACCAAATTTAGGCACACAGAAAATGCAATTGTCCAGCATTCCACCGCATCTGCACCAGCGTGATGAGCAGCTGAGTCACATACAGGTACTGCATAGCCATCCAGCCACAGCCATATATGGGCTTGTGCTCCCATTGCTTCTCCCAGGAAATGTCTGTAGGCATGTGGAGATACAGCCCCCTCAGAGCATCATCTGACCTTAATCCCCATCCTTAAAGTGGTGAAGGATCAACAAATGCAACTTTGGTGGAATTGATTCCAGCCTTCTTCCTTTCCAGCCTAATCTCTGGGCTCACCTCAGCACCTTTCCTTCTCTTCTCCTGCATTGTGAAGAGCCAGAATGGGAACAGAGCTCCTGCTTTGGACCTATCTGCTGCAGGGATGGGGTGGGAGACTGCTTAACAATCTGGGAACTATGCTATTGGAAGAGGGAGACAAAGGATCTCTCTCAAGGAGAAAGGAGAGAGAGAGAGGCAGATGCACAGAAATTGTCTTCCTTCAATTTTCAAAACTCCATTAGATTCTCTCTGGCATTTGCTATGGCTCTAATTTTATTGCCCCAGGCACTTTCCCCTTTCCATTCACCTTAGAAAATCACCCTAGGTCCTCAAGCACCAGGGACAGCATGCTTGGCCCATGGAAGGATATGCTTTTTATTGAGTTATGCTTTGTACCACTAAGAATTATTTACAACCAGAGATAAATATCCGTAAGAGGAAATGTTTTTACATATTCATTGGGTTCCAAAGTATTAGCGGATTCTATACAATAACAAAAAAAAAATTTAACAGCCAACTACTTGTAAAAATTGCATGAAATGTGAGTTTTAAAATTGCCAAGACTCTTGATTTTGTAACAGTCAGGAGGGAAGTGACGAGCATCACATCTTGCAACACTTCCGATAATATGAGTGTTCCCTAAAATGTAAGAGACAAGGAGGCAGCCCTATTTGTAGCTGTATAACCATTGCAATTGCGAGTCTTTCCATCTTCTCTGAGTCTCAAGACTATGATACAAAGATAAATGAGACAAAGAAGTTTTGAAATACAAGGTAGGTCTATCTTTGTCTTTCTGCTTTGTTTATGGGAGTATTTGGTAATGTTCTAAGATAGATACAGGAAGCCAGGGGCTGGAGGGACGATGATCCAGGCATAATCTCAGAAGCTGGCAGAGAAATACATGGAGCTGAGTTGAATAAAGATTTTTGCAAAGAAGATATCTCCTACCTGCCAAGAAAGTTCCTTAGCCAGATTTTTTTAATTTTCTTTCTGGTTTTGGCACTGAATTTGTAATAAACTTAGATGCTGCTCCTAGATCTACTTTTATGCATGTATACTAAAAAATACACTTGGAAGTACACTAACTGTGCTAACACCCTCACCAAACTTAACATACTGATCACTGAGTATCTAGAACTAATTGATTTTGCTGTGACAAATTCTGATATTTTCTATTTGCAGCTGTTTACCCACATGCTTGAGGTCTACTCATCCTGATAGATAATCTTTAGACCTTAAGACGGCAGTCATCAGGTGAATGTATGTAGAATTTCTAGAGCAGTTCCCAAATCAACAGCTTTAAAAATCATCACACAAATTATTTTGCTGCAGTGAACAACAACTTTGTTGATCTTGTTACTATCCATTTTAAAGATTCTCTGGCTGCTTGAGATGTCCATAAAATCTTTTCTTGCTCAAGAATTGAGATGGGCAGACAGTTTGGAAGCAGGTAAAATGAGCAGATATGACCAGACTAATTCAGAGGGTAGCAGTTTGCTCTGATATCTGTCATATTGGACAATTTTTGTTGCTTTTTGTCTCCAAGGAAGAAAAGATGCTTGCTTGTCTTGGACTCATCTTCATGACACAGTGGATGCTGCTGGTTGCCCAGATGTATGATGATTGGCAGTGCACAAACTGTGAGTAGAACACTTCCTGCAGATATCCTCTTAGGTGAAGTGTAATATGTTTCTCTTTAGACATATTTGTCCCCCAGTTGCCTTTTGTCTTAGATCTGGTAAGTAGTAACCCCTGTACCTCAAAAATCTGAAAATAACCGATCCCTATTATGTGATAATTTCAGGGGAGATGTCAGATTCACCCATCCAAAATTTGATGCTGAATTGGTGGAAAACAGAACTGAGTTGGATCAGCACCATGAATTTCACTAAGTACAAATGTTCTATGACAGTATATAATAATAATGTCAAAATACAGGTAAATTTTCTATGTAAAGTATCAACAGAGATAAATCACTACACTTTATTCTTTTTCTTTCATATTCTTAAATAACTGAAAAAAGATAGTCTGTGTTTTAGCCATTCTTTTTAGTTTTTATTGAGGCCCATCTTGATACTGATACGTGTCTGTCCTCTGGCACTTCTTGTGAAATTCTTGCCCTGTGAGGAGTACTATGGGACCAGTATCTTGATGAGACTGAAGCATAAGACTGCCTCGTTTCCTGGTTTCAAAGGACCTTCACTGAGAGGCATCTCTTGCTGTGTGGATGAGAATTTTCACATATAGAGGAGAAACTGAGTTAGACACGTGCTCTTGCTTGAATAAGTGTTCAGTGGCACTGGAGCTGTAGTGTAGCTCAGAACTGGGACTCATGTGACATAGAAGTTTGTGAAGGAACAGTGTTTCTGGAGTGGCTCCTGGGATCCAAGCTGGTTATTTCAAACATAGTAGGCACATTTGAATAGACAAACTGAACCAAGACCTGAAAAAAAAATAGGCCTGAGCCAGCGGCTCTGTAGCTAGACATTCTTGGAAGGCATTAATTTATATCACTCTGCAGGACAGCATGTTCCAGATGCCCATCTTGTCCCAAGAGAACAGGAAATCTATATGCATAGCTTAAAAAGAGAAATAAGATATATATGTGTGTGTGTGTGTTTTTAATATGGCTCCAACATTTTGATAGCTGACAGGAGACATGGAACTCAGAATGGATTACTTGGACAGTGTTCTGACTTTACAGAAAGATAATTTCTTTGTCTGATTTAGCCTGTTTTCAGATCTTATGCAGAGAAGATGGCAAGCTAAACCTTTCCCTGTTTTGTAATTACTACATGTATTAACCAGAATAGGTTTTCTTTTGAAGACTGACAAAGCAAGTCGTGAACTCATGGGAATATTTTTTTCCTGAATACATACATTACTGCACTATTTACCAAATTCTCTTCCTCCAGACACCACAGCTGCAGTAATGTCACAGCCTATTTGGTCAATATCTCTTGTGCATCAGACTGATTCGACTATCTCTAAAGTACAGTTCAGGAACAGGAACTGTATCAGAAAATATTGGTTTTGACATCCTTTTTTTGCACAAATGAAGAATAAGCATTTTATGCTCTGCTGCTCTGACAGTATGCAAAATATATACCACATTTACTGTTTCTGTAAGCAGTTTCCAAAAGTCTAATTTCTGGGGAGTCTTTTAATACTCCATGTAGTTCTAGCATCTGCATCAATGATCACAGATTAGAATAGTCATGTCAGCTTTATTTCAACTATCTAAGCATGGAAACCTTAGTCTTCAAAACTCTGATAAAAGGCACTAGTGAGGTACAGGTCCTGCCTGGAGAAAATGTATCCCATGCATCTTAGATGAAAACACCTCTGTACTTTACCACTAAATAGAGAAGGCACTTATATGATTTGTTCAAATTGGCTGCTAACATTAAGAAATCTAATATTACTAGAGATTAACCTCAAGCCATCTCCTTGCCCAAGCAGTCATTCGTGGGCTATCTCCTTTTGTCTTTGAAATGAGAATAAAGTGCAGTAAAGCCATCTGTTGATTTTTAGGAAAGAACATATGCTTCATTTTGAGGAGGTTCAAAAGATTTTTTATGCTGATGGATGGATAGAGAGGAAGAGTTCCTATTCTTCACACTGCTCTCATGAGATTTTCTGATGGGAAGCATCAAAGTCTTCATCTTATGCTGATAAAGGCTCATTATCCAACATTACTAGGAAGGGAGCTCTTTGTCTCGGGGAGATATCAGTACTTACACAGAAAGCACAGGCTTTCTACAGAAGTGTTACATAAACCGTTAGATGAAAAAGTTAAAAAATTAACCACCTGAATGTCATTTTTCAGGAAAAGAACACAAACTGCATCTTTGGAAGAAATCTAGCACTTCCTCTGCACAACGGGGCAAACTTTTCAGTTACAGCAGAGAGCATTAACAGTACATACTCAGTCACATGCAAGTATATTCCTCAAGGTAATGCACTAGACTTTGGAAAAGAATTTGCATTCTTCTAATGGGCCTGAGTGTTAAAAAAAAAAAAAAAAAAAAGAAATGCTTCCTTCCTTAGTTATTCTATTTCCTGGAAATGGATAGCTTCTTGTTCATATCCTTATGACAAGGTGTTGGACAAGCAAAGTATTTTCCTACAACTTGTAGGAAACTCAGTAAATGTTTTGCCCTTGGCTAATGTCTTGCTTGGTGACATTTTCTTAATTGCAGATTCTCTTCTGAATGTTTTATTAGCTTCATTTTCCTGTATTACTCAAAATCAAATTGAAATAGGTTTGTGGCTGTAGTTTTTAAATTCTTCCTCAAGAACTGTGTGACACCTTGAATTCTGTAATAGCATAACTCGTGGTATCACTTTTTAGTGTCCAATCTATGATAACAAAAAGTCTGATGGAATCTGACCTTTTTTATCTGAGAGGGATAACAGATATGAGAGTGTTAAGATAATGAGGTACAATATTTGCTCATTTAAGTAACATGGAATGGAATATACACAATGATGCTCCTTCCTGTCTCATCAAGCTCAAAGAAATTGCTGTTTCCTTATAAAAGGAGGGCTAAGTCATCCTTTCTTTTAAAAAGACACGTTTATTCTCCTTATTAGCCTTTGTTGGGGTTAGGAGTTAAAGAGCAATATGCAGTGTTTATGATTTGGTGAAGTGATGTTAATCTCAGAAATCAGAATAATTCAAGGAACGTGGCCACTTTAGGTGTCAGCCTGCATTACGGCAACCTAGTCTTCATGGAGCCTAATCCTGTCATATACAACTTCATATCTTTGGAGGACATAGCTACATCAGATTCTTCACAAGATCTGTCAGTCTAAATATCTTCCAATGCAGCTACGTAAAATGGTGTTTATCATTCCTAATCAAAACAATAATTGTCTAAAGTTGCAGGTATCTGCTGTACCTAAGCATGTGCCAAAATCCTCCAGCTTGGAGCAGTCCACACATTTTGTCCTCATAATGAACACTGCTGTGTTTGCAGGCATCAATGGGTCAGCCATTGAGAACTTCTCCTGTGTGATTTATGACGTTTCCCTCATGAACTGCACTTGGCAGGCAGGCAGGAATGCTCCAGGAGATACCCAATATTTTCTCTACTGGCGGAACTCGATGTGAGTAGGTCTTCTTGAGTATTGAATTCTCACTTAACACATCACAGTACCTGTTTTTAATTAAAACTCCTTGACATGTATATATATGTGTGTGTTTGTGTGTGTTATGTTATCTTTAGAGATGATGACGTAATGGAATGTGAGCTTTACATTAAAGACGAAAATGGTAGACATGTGGGATGTAGATTCAAAAACGTGAAGATAGAGAAATCTTATTTTTTGGTGAATGGGTCTAGCAAAAACTCCCTGGTCCAGTTCTATGACGCAAATATTGACCTATATACGATTGGTGAGTAAATTATTTATTTTGTTTTATTTCTACTATTACATAAGGGTAACAGAGCATTTATCCCTGAGACAGAGCCTGCACTCAGACATAATTTTCTCCCCACATGACAGTTTTTCCTGTTTTCTGTTTGATGCTGGCAAAAATATAGTTCAAAAATGGACCACAAGAGGAAGTAGTAACATTCTGAAATAACTGTTAAGAGAAGACATCTTAACAATTCTTATGTTGAGAGTGAGGATTTTCTGGCTTGAGTGTCATTTACCTAAAAACCGTGCAGGCATTCAAATCCATTGGATGATAATACCAGAGTTCCTAAATTCTCACTGAAATTTCTAATTCTATCTTCACTTGTGCAGCAAAGATGAAATGTGTTGCCCAGTCTGTCAATTCAGACAGCTGTTTATTATCCTAAAGATGATGAGCACTGACTTTGTAAATGCTTTCGCACTATTTTCTATTATGTTTAAAGCTCTTAAAAATTATCTTATTTCTGCATTTAGTGTCTGGCTGCAGAATTTAACTTCTGTTTACTTCCCCATAGAATCTGTAACCATTTTAATTTTATGGACCTTCTGCATTTCAGTTCAGAACACATTTACTCATTTACCAGCATTGTTGGAAATAATATTTTTTTCATAAGAGTGGTATCTGTACAGGCAAGACCTGAAGTCTCTTTTCACTCATTATTCTTGCGATGACAAAAGGAGCAGTGTATGCTCTCCTTTTCTAATTGCTCTGAATAATTTATCCTGGCTGTTGTTTCTAGCTCCCTGGTCCTTTGAAAAATATTATATCATAACTATCATTTATTTAGTATTTTTTTTCAATGACCTTCAGACTTCCTCCTTGTTTAACTTCTCAAAACATTATTGCTTTGGACCAAGGTTTTCTTTATAGCTGCTGCTATTCCATCCTTTCTTATATGGAATAACTCCATTACTTGACATGTATTGTACAACATAAACACTGAGCTGGAAAAAATACATGGTATGCATCAGCAGTTCTTCCATTCTAGGTCAGTTCCTTTATCATCTGTAAAAATACACTGTCTCACATATTCCTAGAGTCAAAAGTGAGAGACTGAGAGACTGTGGCTTTTTCAAGAAAATCAACTACCTAAATGAAAGAGCCATGAAGAAAATAAGCAAGGATTCTTCACAGCTGTAGCCCTTCTCAGCTTTTTTCAGCAATCTACTTGAATTATAAATACATTGATGGAATTTTGGAGATGGCATTTCACACTACTACCTTTTTCAATGATGGCCAAAGACATTTCAACTAAAGAGCCTATTTGAGCCTCTGCATTGCCAGTGGAAATACCATATGTGGAAAACATACCCTTAACTAAAGAAATGAATGTGTGTTCAAAATACCCCAAGTTTTCATATGCACTTTCACTATTGGCAAAGCTCCATTGCTTTGATACTGCCACCAAAAACAAACAAAGCTTCATTCTATAAAGAAAAGGAGGTAAACTGTACTAGTACCCAGAGAGATGAAATAAAACTGCTTCTTGACCAAACGGCCCATCACAAACAGACCAGTCCTGTCTGTAAAGACTGATGCAAGATAGTCTAACTGAAACCATTCCCTCTATTGTTTTATCACTCCTTTAGTTATCAGTGTCTGCTTGTCTTTTGCTGTTATGATAGATATTAAGTCCTCGGGTATGATCAAAATACAAAAGTATCTATACTTTTGCCCACGTTTGTGAAAGTAGGGGAGATGTCTGAAGTTCTTAAACTGAAATGCCATTCTTAAAACTGTATGGTTATTTTTGGAGGAGAAATAAGCTGCTTGGTTCATAACACCAAGCAAGCCATACGGTCATGTCACAGAAGAGTCTAGTGAGAAAGCTTAAAGAATGAAATAACCTTCAGAATTCTTACATTAGTATTAACATCAGATTGCTCTCCCTGTATCCCTGTATTCCTACTTCTCTTCCTGGAGACAGTATATAGAGAGCTCTGGGCTTCTAATATAGTGTTCAAGAAAAATAAATGTAAATAAGTATATTTCTTCACAGAAATGTTACCTGCAATTCCTCCTTTTTTTTTTTTTTTTTCTTTTAAATCAAATCAAAAACTATTAAGTGATTTTAAATATTTGAACTCTTGAATTTATCATTTCAGAAAAACTCACACCTCCATCAAATGTCACTGTCAGTTGTGATGAAATTTCACATTCTTGCACTATTCAATGGCAACAACCCCAAATAAATCACTCTAACAAAGACAGGTGTTTTAAATATGAAGTTGAAATAACATCCAAGGTAAGAGGAATCTCTAGACCTACGTTAAACATCGATGCACATTTTTACATTTTCTAATTGGCATGGGTAAAAAGATTTTCATATCGTGTAGACTTCCTCATATGCAGAATTATTTTTCATTGTCGTGCCTTTATTGCACCTTGTGAAGCTGTACTGTCCCATTTTATCCCTCTTGTCCTGAGTAACATATTGCTGAAGATACACTCAGTGTCTATGAGTACGTGGGACTAAGAGGAGAAGGATGGTTAATCACAACTTGAACATATTACAGATTGGGCTGTGACAAAACTCAGAAGAAGTACTTTCTTTTGCTGGGGCTTACTTCTGCATCTCTGTGATAGGACAGAGCTGGGCTGCAAATACAGGGTGAAGAAATGGTGATTTGGTTAAGCAGTATGAATGGATGGAAGAGGTTGAAATTTCTGTACATTCAAAATGTAACTAGCAGATACCATAGCAGCTGGAGATGTATAATGCTAAGTAAAAGAAAACAAATGAGAGAGAAAGCAGAAAGACTTGACAAGTCTTTGGGAGCAAGAAAGAGTGAGGATGGAGTGAAAGTCTGAGGGGTCCAGCTGGAAGGAGAGTAGGTGCAATACACCTCTGGCAGAACTTCGGCAGGCAGTCAAGAGGAGGCTGATGGCAACTGGGGAGGAACAGCCTGCCTGTACTGCAGCCCGGCTGCCACTGGGCGGCTGGTGCTGTCCTTCTCTGGAGTTACTGTTCGGATCTGGGTCTGCAGGCGGTTTGCTAATTCACAGATGATCCCAGATGATTGCTGCTATAAAACCTTACAGCTTCTTCTAACCCTTTGCCTTTGTAGCAATTAAGTCTTTACACTGAGCTCTGCGTGGCTTTGACATAAAGAGAAATCACAGTAAAGCAATACAGAATTCTTTATTTTTTAACATGATTAATACCAGGTTACAAAGAATATTCAATTTATATGCTGTCCGAATTGCCTAGTTATTTCCATAAGAAATTATCAGCAGTTTTCACATTACTAATTTCATCAAAGTCCACCAAATACTGCATTGCAAAATGTATTGCTTTCCAATTGCGAAGTATAAAGTGAGAGCAAGATTTTGCTTATATTATTTTACAGAGAAATATTGCGTTGCTAATACACTGCAACCAACAAATATTTGTGTTACAATCAACTTTTAAACTTTATTTTACAACTGGAAATTACTTGCATTGGGAGAAAACAAAAAGGATAACACAATGACCATGAACAGGCTGCCCTCAGGAGTTGTGGAGTCTCCTCTGGAGATATTCAAAACCCACCTGGATGCTACCTGTGTGACCTGATGCAGGGAACCTATTTAGCAGGGAGGTTGGACTGGATGGCCTCCAGAGGTCCCTTCTAATCCCTATGGTTCTTTGATTCTGTTACTCTCTTTCTTTCTCATATGTGACATCAGTAAAAGCACTACAGGGAAATGATTCCATTTTCCCCCTCTACTCAGTGTAGCTGTTTAGGGATTCAAGGACCTGCTCTCTTGTACAGCAGCATGCTTTGCAACACGTGCTCAGGTGCCACATGGGTACAGCATGTGTACCATTATTTTCTGAAGAAATATTTGATCTAATCTCTTATTGTTTTACAATGGAAAAAAAAAAAACAAGACTGAAAGTAATTAAAAACAAAAACAAACAAACAAAAAACTCCAAACCCACAGGCTAGTGGAGATGTTGATTTAGCCTGCCAATCATTAGTTGTGTGTGGTCAATATGCTATATAGTAGTCATTATACTTACACAGAAGAGATATGGGATTTTTTTTTCCTATCAGAAATGTAGATGGAGGGAATCCTGAAATATTTGTGAATCCAAGTCACTTCGGAATGATTTCATCTGCGGGAAAAGAAACAGCATTTGCTTAGCATTTACAATTCAGCATAGTCTTTTGTGTTTTTATAAGATATAAACAATAGATTTAAAAAGAAAAGCTTATCTCGTGAAGTTCAACAAGGTGAAGTGCAAGGTCCTGCAACTGAGTTGGGGCAATCCCAAACACAGATACAAGTTGAGCAGAGAACGTGTGAGCAATTCCCTGTGGAGAAGGATTGGGCAGTGTCAGTTGATGAAAGATTTAATATGAGCTGGCAGTGTGCACTTGCAGCCCAGAAGGCCAACTTTATCTTGGGTTGCATCAAGAGAAGTGTGATCAGCAGGTCAGGGAGGTGATTCTGCCCCTCTACTCTGCTATTTTGAGATCCCAGCTGGAGTACTGTGTCCAGTTCTGGGGCCCCCAAAACAAGGAGGACATGGAGCTGTTGGAGCAGGTCCAGAGGAGAGCCACAGAGATGAGGGCTGGAGCCCTTATGGGGAGAGGCTGAGAGAGCTGGGGCTTTTCAGCATGGAGAAGACTCCAAAGAAACCTTATAGCAGCCTTCTGGTACCAGAAGAGGACCTAGAGGAAAGCTGGGGAGGGAGTTTTTTTAAGTAGCAATAGGGGAAATGGCTTTAAACTGGAAGAGGGTAGATTTAGACTTGTTATTAAGAAGAAATTATTTTCTGTGAAAGTGGTGACACACTGGAACAGGTTGCCAGTGAGGTTGTGGATGCCCCCTCCCTGGAAACATTCAAAGCCAGGCTGGATGGGGCTTTGAGCAACTTGGCCTAGTGGGAGGTGTCCCTGCCTATAGTGGGGGTTTGGAACTAGATAATCTTAAGGCTCCCTTCCAACTGAAACCATTCTTTGATTCTGTGATCTTAAAAGCTTTTTCTGGTGTGTGTGAGAATAGAATTACTGTTTGCATTCAGACCAGGGTTTTTTTCTTTGGTTGTGTTTCAGTTCAAGCATCAATCTGAAATAAAATTTATTTCTCATCTCTAATGGTAAGGAATACAAATACTTTTCCATAGAAGAAATAGTTACTATATAAACTTGGCATGGCAGTTGGATCGCATATCAGAAATAAAGTAATATAAAAATAAATTACTACTTCATCAAAACAAACTGTGAAGTAGATTAGATAGTAATGCAGAGAAAGGTGATAAATAGTTGATTAAAATGAGTATCTTAACAAAAAAAAAAAGCAATCATAAAAATAAAAGTTTTCTCTCGATTTACAGGGTAACTCTGCAGAGTGGACCAAACGAAATTATACAAAAGTAAGTTTGCTTTTTCTATTTATCAGCAGTATATGTTCGTTTCATAGTCAATTGTGAAAAGTAAATAGCACATAGTTGCATCTAGCGTTAGTTCAATGCTTTACGATATTCTTATTTATGAGTTTCTGAAACACGCCTGGATGCTAAATAATTATGATATTTGTGTCACTTATCACATATTCAAAGAAATGTGGAAAAAAAAAAAAAAAGAAAACAGAAAAATTACTGTTCCATAACTATTTTGTGAAACCTTCTATTACACTATTCCTTCTTCCTCTCAAATGTTTGGTCAGAATTTGAAGATACACATTAGTGACAGAAGGGAAAGGAGTCACTGAGGAAACTCCTCCTAGGAATTTAATTCAACTTATGTAAGCCCAAAGACCAAAAAAAAAGACCTTTGGAATAGGGCCTGTTCTGCACGTATGCTGCACCTTGTTGTAGTCAGTGCAGCCTGCACATCCCACTCCTATTCTGAAAGTATCCAAAGAGAGAGTATGTTTTGGGAAGTTCTGGTACAACTAAGTACTGCAGTCTTCTTATTTTGCAAGGTTGTACTGGAACTTTTCTTTGTCGTAAGGAGCCCTATTACAAAGATAGGAACATGAGCTACCTGCAGATGGTTTATTCTTTGCATTAGAGAATTTTAGCAGCATTAATACAAGACAATTCAAGATACTTTTCTGCTTCTGTAAATGTAGCAAGGAAAATAAAAAATAAATCAGAATTACTGATTATGTAAATTTGTGAAGGTGCTGGGGCCTGTCCTCTTCAGTATCTTTATTGATGACCCGGATGAGGGCACTGAGTGCACCCTCAGTAAGTTTGCGGATGACACCAAGCTGGCTGGAAGTGTGGATCTGCCTGGGGGTAGCGAGGCCCTACAGAGGGATCTGGACAGGCTGGATAGCTGGGCTGAAGCCAATGGGATGAGGATCAACAAGGCCAAATGCTGGGTCCTGCACTTTGACTGCAACAACCCCAGGCAACACTAGAGGCTTGGGGTGGAGTGGCTGGAAGACTGCATAGAGGAAATGGACCTGGAGGTATTGATTGATGCTCGGCTGAACATGAGCCAGCAGTGTGCCCGGGTGGCCAAGAAGGCCAATGGCATCCTGGCTTGCATTAGAAGCAGTGTTGCCAACGGGAACAGGGAAGTGATTGCCCCCCCCCTACTCAGCTCTGGTGAGGCCACATCTTGAGTACTGTGTCCAGTTTTGGGCCCCTCGCTGCAAGAAAGACATTGAGGCCCTGGAGCGGGTTCATAGGACGGTGACAAAGCTGGTGATGAGTCTGAAGCACAAGCCTTATGAGGAGTGGCTGAGGGATCTGGGATTGTTCAGTCTGGAGAAAAGGAGGCTCAGGGGAGACCTTATTGCTCTCTATAACTACCTGAAGGGGGGTTGTATGAGCTGGGGGTTGGCCTCTTCTCTCGTGTAACTGGTGGTAGGACTAGAGGGAATGGCTTCAAGCTGCACCAGGGGAGATTTAGGCAGAACGTTAGGAAATACTACTTTTCTGAAAGAGTGGTCAGGCACCAGAATGGGCTGCCCAGGGAAGTGGTGGAGTCACCGACCCTGGAGGTGTTCAAGGAATGTTTGGATTTTGTGTTGAGGGATATGATTTAATGAGAACTATTGGTGATAGGTGGATGGTTGGACTGGATGATCTTGAAGTCTTTTCCAACCTTGGTGATTCTGTGATTCTGTGATTCATAAGAAATTACAGGTTAACAAGTAGAAGTTGAAAAATTGAAAGTTCTAGACAGCAAAATTTATGGAGTGATGGGCTATACTTGAAAAGATACACACATAGATACATACATACTACATACTTAAAAAGCAAGCATATATTTTTTGCTCCAAAGCAGCAGTCTGATCTAACAAGCAATTCTCCCATACCTTGAAAACTCTCACTGGTAAACGCAGCTTCCACATTGTCAACATCTAGGAATTCAGCAATGAAAAACTCAGTCTAAATGTAATTTTGTCTGTTTGCTTAGGAAATTGTTACAAGCCACATAGTTCAAAATCCCAACATGAGACAGAAGAACCTGGTGAAAATAAGAGCAGCTGGCCGTATGTGTAACGTAAACAACGACTGGGGGGAGTGGAGTGCAGCTGTTGAGTTTGGTAAGAATAAAAAAATCTTTACCCTGACTTATCTTTCTCCCAGCTATGGCCTATCTACCTCGCACATGGATGTGCACTTGTAAAGTATATGTAAGCATTATGTTTCATTCCACATTGCTGAAAAGGAGAGAGATAATTAGTTTATCTCTTAACATTCTAACTTTGGAAATCAATAAAAAAGTTGTATATTTGAAACTGTAGTGCATCATATCTGCTTAGCGCTGAGGACTAACAAACAGGTTTGGTGTTAATCTCTCCTGGAAAAATGTACAGCTAAAATGCTAAAAGAAAAAAGAGTTGCATTTTGTTCCAGGAGAAACCTTTTGGACTGACATTCACCAGTCAGTGTGCTTGACTGTGCGTTTATTGCTTTTTGTTAACAATAATGATTCATGACTGTTGCTCTTTCAGGAAATGAAGAAATTTCTTCTTCAGTATGGATTTTACCTGTAGTGGCAGTTGCAACACTCTCAATAGCTATCTTTACAATTTTCTTCTGCAAAAGGTATATAGAATTTATACTTTTATTTTATTTTGTGTGAATGTGTGAAGCATCTGCAGTTCTTAAACAAATGAATTATGCAGAGGTGCCTCTGAATACATCTTCACTCACAATCTAATAGAAGCTAAATTAAAAAGGTGTTCTCGAGGCAGGCATTATGATTATGATACCTAAAGTCTCTCTTTGGATGACTCACATACATTTTTTTCAAGAGCTCTACTGTTAACATGGCAAGAAGGTTAATTATGTTTCATCACCTACCACAGAATCATAGAATCATTAAGGTTGAGAAAAGATCTATAAGATCATCTGGTCCAGCTGTCCATCTACCATTGATTTTTCTCCACTTAAACCAAGTCCCTCAGTATCACATTGACATGTTTCTTGAACGTCTCCAAGGACTGTGACTCAACCATCTCCCTGGGCAGCCTGTTCCAGCACCTCAACACTCTTTTGGAAGAGAAACCTAATTCCAAACTCAACGTCCCCTCACTCAACTTGAGGCCATTTCCTCTCATCCTGTTGCTGGTTACACGGAAGAAGAGGCCAACGCCCACTCCACCACAACCTCCTTCCAGGAAGTTTTAGAGAGCAGTAAGGTCTCCCCTGAGCTTCCTCTTCTCCAGACTAAACAATCCCAGTTCCCTCAGCTGATCCTGCCGAGACTTGATCTCCAGACCCCTCAACAGCACTGTTGCTCTTCTCTGAACATGCTTCAGGTTTTCAATGTTTTTCCTGTAGTGAGAGGCCCAAAATTGAACACAACACTCAAGGTGTGCCCCCACAGAAGGATGATCGCTTCCCTGCTCCTGCTGGCTGCACTATTTCTGATAGCAGACAGGATGCCATTGTCCTTCTTGGCCACCTGGGCACACTGCTGGCTCATGTTCAGCTGACTGTCGACCAATAGCCCCAGGTCTTTTTCATCCACACAGTCTTCCAGCCACTCTGCCCCAAGCCTGCAGCATTGCCTGCGGTTATTGTGGCTGAAGCACAGGACCAGCATTTGGTCTTGTTGAACTTCATCCCTTGGCCTTAGTGCAGCAATCCAGCCTGTCCAGATCCCTCTGAAGGGCACAACAACACTTCCTGCCAACTTGGTGTCATCTGCAACCTTACTGAGGGTATGCTTAATCTCCTCATCCAAGTCATCAATAGAGATACTAAACAGGACAGGCACCAAAACCAACACCCAGGGAACACCACTCATTACCAGCTGCCAGGTGGATTTAACTCCATCCAGCATCACTCTGGGCCTGACCCTCCAGTTGGTTCTTTATCCAGTGAATTGTGTACCTGTCCAAGCCAGTGTCAAAGGCTTTGCTGAAGTCTAGGTAGAAGACGTCAACAGCCTTTCTTTCATCCACCAGGCAGGTTACTCAGTCATAGAAGGAGTTTTTTTACCCACACTGCCTTTTTACCCACACTGGCTGGGCCTGATCTTCTGGTCGTCCTGCACATGTCCTGTGATCTCACTCAAGATGATCTGTTCTATAACAATCCTCTATAGCAATCGGTTCTCAGGAGCATAGTGTGGCACCTCCTTCTGCTTCCTCTGCTCAGGGTGCTGTGCTGCACAGAACAATGAGGTCACCTCTTAGCCTTCCCTGCAAATTAAACAACTTAAGTTTCCACAGCCTCTCCTGATACCAACTTTTTAAAGCCATGCTTACCAACATGTAGAATGTCTACCAAAAGATTTGGTTTCTTGAAATGTACTTATTGCAAACACACAGGCTGATTGTACTTATCAGTATAGATCTTCTAACATTCATTAGAATTGTCCTAGCAAGCTAAATTAATCTGAGAATGCATAAGAAATTTGCATTTCTTCCTGAAATAAACTATGCAAGAGAAATGGAAAGAAAAAGGATAGTCTACCTTATCATGCACTTTGTATAGAAATACACAGTCATTCAGAGAAGGTTGTTCTTCCTACTTGTTTAAATGTTTATGTTCACTTTGTACTGGTTGCAGTGACTTAAATATGATCACAGTAGAGAGTTCCTTTTTCTTTCAAAGTAGAAAATAAATATTTTGAATCTAACCAAAAAGAAAATCTAAATTCTTAGTGTTTACCTCATATGTATTCATTCTGTGCCATGATGATGTACAATTTTCATTTCTTTTCTGAGGAAGATTTCTTCCCCTAGAGGAGGAAGATAAGAGCTTGTTCAAGGGTGCAGTGGTTTTGACACTTTTGACACACTATGCCAGATAGTTTATTTTTCTGTTTTGCTCTGTCCCATTTGAAATCCAGGACTGGTTATTGGAAAGCAGCATTTCCACGAGTTCCAAAGCCAAAAAATCCATTTCATGGACAGCCTGATATAAATCCACAGGTAGGCTTTCTTTCTATTTTACATTAAATGCATGAAATGCAAAATAAGACTATACTGCAGGTTTAAAGGTAATGTTTAAACGATAAGGAACTTAAAGGAACGAATAACTCTTTCCTTTGACATATATTGAGGAACTACAAAAGGAAATCAGCAGGGAATTTGTTAAGGGAAGTCAAATGCAGTACTCTTCTCCCCTCAGGGGGTTTCTGCTGTTCAGATTGGTAGGTCCTATAAAAGGCACACACATGTACCAATATGCAGAGAGGAGATTGAGACTGCTAGTTACACAGAGCAGCATGGATGCCTTACCAGCACCACACTGTCACCAATAAAATTATAAATAACATAATGTCCCATAAGCAGAGCCACAAACAGCCCAGTCTGGCTGCTTCTCTCCATCTGGGCAGGATGACAGTGGGACATTCACACATCTGCACTCAAGGCCTGTTCAGTTAACTAAGCTTCAGGCCAAAGTGTGCTCACCTAGTTACGTACCTTAATAAAGTTAATCCTTTTGTTCTAATTCTTTTACAATTATCTGTGAACAGTGTGCTGGAGAAAAGCACACTTTCCCCTACTCATTTTCAAGCCAGGCTGAAAATCATGTTTCAGCATTAGAGAGGTGTTGAAATTTCAATATTTTGTCTTTCTAAGGAAAGCTTATCTGATAAGAAAAAAAAAAAAAAAGTGAAATATTTCCTTAAAATATGCAAAAAAGTTGAAATATTCTCAGAATTACACATACATAAGTTAAGTTAGTCACATGTTTAAAACTAACAGAAGTTTTAATTTTCCTTTCAGATGATGGAGTGCAAAATGCAGTCAGTGACATCTGAAACTGAACAAATTACAGTAGTTGCTGAAGTAGTAAAATAGTAAAAACAAATGAGGAACCTGAAAGTGTACTTTTAATTCAGGCAATTCAGCTCTGCAGAAAGTCAGGGACTAAAATGCATAAGTAGTGCAGCCAAGAGATAAGATGATTTATGTGTAAGTTTTTGAAATGCCTGTGTATTTTCTTTTAATTTCATCTTACTTTAGCTGTCTGGGTAATTGTCCTTATTGGGTATCTTCTATTCTGTGAGTATGATTTAAATATTTCAAGAAGTTTCAGGTACATTTCAATTTGTTAAAGAAAAAAAATATATATATTTTTATCATATTAAAAATAGTAAGAGCCAGTATACTGAGAAGGCAGGCCAGCTATTTAGAGGGATCTTGACACACTGAAGAAATGGGTTGATGGAAACCTCATGAAGTTCAACAGGTGCAAATGCAAATACCTGTACCTGGGGCAAACTAAATCCATGTATCCTAGTGAGTGGGTGACAGACAGGCTTGTAGACAGAGCTTTTTGGTCCTGATGGACAGGGTAGACAAAAATCACCAATGCGTCCTTATGTGTGGTCAGGTGACAGGAGAGCACAGACAAAGATCCCCCCTTCAGTTAAAGCCTAATTCCATACAAATCTCATTCTGGAGTTATATCAGAATAGTCTTGTCATCTGACTCCCCAGTTTGGATGGTTGGAAAGTAAGCCATCCACCTGTTCCTACCTGAGGATGTTACGCTGGAAGCTCACCATGACTTCTAAGTTGATGTTAATATTCAAACCAAAAATATTCAATCATTTCACCCCTTAACAGAATTAGCCTTTGAGTACTTTCATTCACAATAAAAAGAACTTTATCCTCTGAGATAGTCTCATTGATTTTGACAGCTCATATATCTTGCTGCTTCTTTTGGCCTTGGAGATTCAGGTTTTGAGGATGTCGCAATGTTCTTCATAAATAAGTGAGGAACCATGGATAAATCAAGTTTATGCTTTAGTGTAAAACTGCTTTTTATCTTGAGACAAAAGCTTGGACTACAATATCAGGCATCCAAATATAGTTATTTGATTTTCAGACTATTTTTTTTACAATGCTATATGTTTGATTATCAGATTAAATATTCCCTGGACAGTTTTCTTGCACCAGGGCCAACTGCCATGTAATTTTGCCAGATGTGTTTTATTAAACCATAAATTTGGGTCAACACCTGAAAACTGCCATTACATACTGGCATTACTAGCCATTACTACAGATAACCCCTGGACTATGCCCAGGATTTGTCCAGGGCATTGTTTGCAAGTCCTGCTCCAGTCAGGGCTGAGAACAGTTGTTTCTGGACTCTTTCCAGTGCTGGGGAGTCGTCCAACCACCAGCACTGGCAGGAGCTATTCCCCACACTGTCTAACTTCTACTCTAGATAGGTACAAACAGCTCTTGGTACAACTACTGCTTTTGAAAAAATTAATGATTGCCACTGGGTCAAAGACTCATCTGGGAAGATTTTTCCTTCAGATTAGAAGAACAGGGCCAATTTCTTAAGGAGAATGAGCTGAACATATGTACAAACAGCATTTGCACATAATTCTCCCAATACGCAACAATAGCCAGAATTGAAATGCCAACAGTTACAAGCTAAAACAGTAATGACATTATGCTAGGCCACACTGATTTATACAACTTTTGATGATATCATTCCTGTTGGGCAAAAATGCCAGGGAGAAGCATAGTTTGATTGTAATCCACCGTAGCATAACCATGATGTGGGAAACATTAATGGCTCGCTGTAGGGAATCGAATAGGAAGGTATAATAAAGACAGTATCTCTTAGGAGATCACATTACAGTCTGGTTAGTAGATACAAAAGAAACTCCTTATTTCCTGTTTTCTTTTGATAAGGAATAATATACTTTCACTTATTCAGGGAAGGAGCTCAGGAAAAGCTGGCAGGTCATTTAAAACTACATTCTCTATGCAGAGCAGTGAGCTGCTGTAACACTTAGGGAAACAAGCAGACATATTAGGAGACCAGCTTCCCAAATCAAAAGGGTGCAAGGAGGAAAGGAACGGATAACAGTAGGTGTCCAAAGAAGGGATTAAATGTGGAAACTCAAATCTATACAGTTCTCACAAGAATCCAACTTAAGGGTGATTAGACCTGGCCAATCCATTCTGAATCATCTTCAAAAGGTTGTGGAGACCAAAGAGGTCTTTGCTGACTGGAGAAAGGCTCCCTCTTCAGAAGAAGTTCTTAAGATTATCCCAGGGAACTGCAGGCCTGACAGATTGGAATGCCATGATGGGAGTCCTATTGGAGCACATTTCTGGGCACGATAAGGGGGTTACTGGGAGCAGTCAGTATAGTTTTTAAAAGAGTAAATACCCATGACAATTGGGGTACCAGAAGGTTCTATCCTTAAGTCTATCCTGTTTGACATCTTTGTTAATGAGATCATGTTTGTAGATATCACCAGATTGGGTGATCAATTAATTTGCTCAAAACAGAGGCCACATAGGCTGAAGAAAAGGTGAAAAACTAACACAAAACACAACCTAAATTCATCCATTAATGACTTTTAATTTAGGTTGTCCAAAAAAGGAAAATTAGTATGTGTGTGTGTGTTGGTTTTTTTTAACTAATATTATCTTTTTCTAAATAAGTGTTGTGAAAATTTCCTGTGCTTTTCTTAAAACTCTATGAATTACACTAGTTACCGTTAGTCTGTTACAAAAGAGTTTCATACAGCATTGGGCAACTTGTTGCATTATCCATCTATGATCTAATCCTTTTTTAATGAAAGGCTGGTGACATTTCTGAAACTTTTATCAGCCTAGTGTTTGTTTGTTTGTTTGTTTGTTTGTTTGTTTGTTTTCTCAGCAAATGCTAATGCTAAACCAAGATATTATTGTAATTGATCTTCCTGAGCTGTAGAGTGAATTTCTCTCTCTTTTATTTATGATAAGCTACTCACGAATTGGCTACGAATAGCTACAGCAACATATGGAACACCACCTGGAAGAGTCCAGAAGACCACCCATGGACCAAGAGTATTGGTTCTGGAAGGGATTGTCCTGGGGGAGCCAGAGAGGTCTTGGTCCATGCCTCAGTGCTCCTGAGTCTCAGCTGCACTGACAATAGCACATTGCACAATACCAAAACCATTTCTGGTTTATTATAAACGCCAAGATAAGCAGTATGTCAGTTCAGACACAATTGATCTGATGGTTCCCAGGAGAAGGTGGAGCACGTTGAAGGGAGACATAAAAGAGATCAGATGTCCTTAAAGGAAACTGGTTATCAGTGGAGTCAGAGTCATGGTCTTGGCCACACAGATAAACCAGGAAACTGTGAGGGCCATGTGTCCTCCTGGGAGGTACCCAGAACCTGAGGACAGCCATGGAGCCATCAGGCCATGATCTCTCTGGCCAGAACTATCCCAGAGCAGCCAGTGAGCAAGCACAGACAGCCATATCCCACGGAGAGGGAAGAGTGGTGCACGCAGAGCCCCAGTGAATTCATCCAGACTAGAGCTTTGAAACACATTAGTCAAGACTAATATAGCTACTCTTTGAATAGTCTGAAAGTACTAATCAGATGAAACTGTTAGACAACCCTCAGGTTATTCACAATCTGACCAAACATGCCACTACTATAGGATGCAAATCCTTTTAACAAAATTAATTACCTTTCCAGAAAAGCTCACAAGTGAAAAGTTTTTAAAATTATCTCTGAATTCTTAATTAGTCATTTATCTATTTCCTTCACCTGAAATTACTTGTCTTGTTACTCTCTTAGGTTCTGTCCTTTAGACCTTCCTCTTCCTCAACCCTTTCCAGTGCTTGTTCTTCCTCTCCTTTTCCTAGGTGAAAGCCATTTATTGAGAGTATGCTCCTCCCCAGAATCTCTCACAGGGCTGGTTCTCAACCAGCAGAAAACAGTAAGCAATATTTGTCCTGAACATATCTTGGGAAGAAAGAAATTGAACAGTTTTAGTTCCCACTGTCAAAATAAACCCAGAACAGACAGGATGAGAAGCAAGTCTAGAGAGGATGAAAAATTATTATTACATATTGCTTTTGGCTGTAGTAGCACAAACTATTCAGGCTGTTCCCAGGTTATGTTTCTTAAGAGAAGGAACTGAACATATAAGTCAAGTATTACCTTTGACTGAGCTGAGAAAGTACCTGTCATCCTATATCATGTAATTATCAAATAAGAGAAGACAAGAACATTTAAGATTTTTTTGTTTGTTAAAAATGCTGATATATCAGGTTATTTTCAAATTGGTAAGGAAGCTATGCACCCTCTTTAGTTAGTTTTGATAGAGCATATTTGGGTTATGTACATTATCACCTGGAATCACATAGATATCAAAGTGACTAATTATATATAGGATCCACCGTTTTCTCTCAGCTTGCTAGTGGAAATACTTACATTGGAGATACACACTATGATATTCTCTCAAAGGTTATTGTTACAACAGAAAAGTGATATTTCCTTTCACAGTGAAGGTCTAAACAGCACAAGACAACTTTTCTCTCTTTTTCTTCCACTGCATTCTATTTTCAGATTCATTTTAAACTTCATGAATATGGTTTTTTCTCAGGCTAGTAGTATTTTACCTTAGTGTTTTGAAGGATTCGTTTAGAGGAATTTTGCTGAAAGCAGATCTCTTTCCATCTTTGCAAACTTTCTTATCCAGAGCGACTATCGCCTGTTGTGGTGGGCCCCAAAGTGGCTGCCATATCCTTATTTCCTATGTTGAAAAGAGGTAAGGGTGTTAACTAGGCTAAATGAAAAGTTCAGAAGAGTGTGAAAAGACTCTGTGTGAGTTGCACTGCTATCTTCTCATCAGCTTTTCTCTTTCTCCCAGATCCTCCTATCAGGTAGGCATACTGACATCCAATTTCCATCACAAATACCTGCGCCAAGGGTATTTGAATTGACCAAACCACTACATCACAAGCTGTAAAGGACCTCTGAAGGTCATCTGGTCCAACCCCAAGCTCAAACAGTTGGCTGATAGTATCCAAGTATGTTTGACAAATAGGCAATTCCAGACTACAGTGACGCATGCACTAGCTACATACTTCTTAGGCTATATTAAAAAAAAAAAAAATTGTTTTCTGAGCAGAAGACTTGGAACATGCCAGTCCTTTTCCCAAGGTGCTGAAAAGATGACAAGGACTGAGTCAACACTAGGAATGTTGCTTGAGAGACCAGAATATTTTGCTGAAGAACGTAAACTCTTCTCTCAGTATTCCTCACTTTATCTTTACATAGTTTTCTTTCAATCATAAGATCAAGATTTTAAAGTGGAAAATACTAACGTACCCTTTTGATAGGTATCCTTGGCTGATGTTGAGCAAGACAGAGCTGTATGAATTGAAAGATAAAGACATTCAGAATTTGAAATATTTGTGAAGTAATTTGCTATTGGTGAATCTCATCATATACACAAGAAAATAATAGTAAAGTGAGAGATTTTGGTTCAAGGAAAGCAGGGTTAGAAATAAGTTTTCCTCTATCAGACTAACTGTTAAGGACCCTACCCCACTCCTAAGAAGCTCAGGGAATTCTCTTTCTGTTCTTGTGCCTGTATTAGGGGTGAAAGCTAAAGAGTAATTCAAATCATTCTGTCTGTGAATACTTGAAAACAAGAAATAAAAAGTCTTGCCTGAAGAACAGCAAGGTACTCTATGTATATCACATATCATGTAAAACAAACTAGGAAGTGGCTAATACTCAGCGTGACCCAAAGCCACAGCTGAAGTTGCTAACAGCTAAAGCAAACATTATGATTTAGCTTTTCATATTTTTATGACTGCAAAGCCTCTTACAAACTCAACATTCCATACAGCCAGTTGGGTCTTGATAATTAAATGGCCATGTTGTAAGAACTTCAAGCATTGACTAGTTGTATAAAATTGAAATCAGTGTGACATAACTGCAATTATTTATTTCCAAAACATATTATTTATGAAAATGTCTTTATTTGTAGGAGGGGTACTTCTATGAATATGTTCATGACCACTGTGTGTTTATGCATTACTTTATAATGATTCTGCATACTGTGACTGTTTAGTTTATACAGCATAGCAGGAAGGAAGAGTTAGTTGCGTGATCAGTTCATGTGAAATCATTACCATCTGCAAATTAGGAAATTTAAGGAAGTTCAAAAGCTGTAGGGGAAATGATAATCTGAGTAACTTTCTGGTTTGCTATTAAGTAGTGGTGTACTGTAAAAAAAAACTGACAGATCTAAACACTTGCAAGCTTAAGTGCCTTTGCTGCTCTGATCCAAAATCAAACAAAATAGAGGAGGAGGGTTTTTTCCACGAGGAGGTATGTGTCTTTGTGTCATCTATTGCTTTTTTCTTTTGCCACAAAATAAAAAATATGCAGAATATAAACATTTGCTAAGGGTTAAGCTAGATCCACTTATACTAGGACATCTATGAAATCTGGATTAGCTTTGTGCTTTAGAAAGCCCAGGCAAAATACTGGTACTTTCTCCAAGATTCAAAGTTTATGAAATGCCTATGATGCCTGTTGCTCTATTTGACATTCATTATCTGACATTTATTTTGCAGTAACTGAAAAAAAAATATTATTTTCTGCATCCTTGGGGATATTTGGATTTCTATTTCTTGTAAAAAAAGTTAATCGTAAGATCATGGCATAGACAATGCTGGAAGGCATCTATGGAGGCTGGTGAATCCCACTCCCTGTCCAGAACTGTCAGCTACAGCAGGTTGCACGGGGCTGTGTCCTGTCAAGTTTGGAATATCTCCAAGACTGAAGATTACACAACCTCTTTTAGTAGTTGTGACAATGTGTATCTACCTTTGAAGAAAAAATTGTTTTCTTATCTTTTATCAGAATGTCCTTTCTTTCAGTTTGTGCCCATTGCCTTTTGTCTGGTCTCTGGGCACCACTGAGAAATGTCTGGCTCCATCTTTCCTATTCCCCCCAAGTTACGTTATGCACATGGATAACGTTCCCTTGAGACTTCCTCTCTCCAAGCTGAGCCGTTCCAATTCTCTCCACCTCTCCTTTTTATGAAAGCTGTTCTACTCCTTTAACTGTTTTTGTGATCCTTTCCTTGACTCACTTTAGTGTATCTGTGTCTGTCTTGTTCTGGAAAGCCCACAGCTGTACACAGGACTCCAGGGGTGGCCTCACTAGTGCTGAGTATAGGGGAATGATCACCTTTCTCAGTGTGCTGGCAATACTTTGCCTAACGCATCTCAGTTTACAATTAGCCTACTTTCTGGCAAGGGAACATCGCTGACTCATGTTCAGCTTCATGTCTACCAGGACTCCAAGGACCCTCTTTGCATGGCTGCTTTCCAGTTGTGCTTGGGATTATTCCTCCCCATGAGGAACAGGAACACCAGGTGCACATTTCCCTTTGACTTCACAAGATCTTTATCAACCCATTTCTCAAGGCCATCCAGGTCCCTCTGAAGCAAAACAGTATAGTGCTATAGCAACAATTTCTCCCAGTTTTATATCATATACAAAAATGAAAAAAACTATCTAGAGGTTGAATTGATTCTTGGAAGGCAACTTTTAGGCATCAGTATGAGCTAAATACTTAATTGCCTGTTAGACATTGCCAGATTTTTCCTATGCTTATTTATATGCCTCCTGGTATGCTTAATGGTGATCTCCATTTGCCTGTGAAGTATAAGCATTGGTTTGACTGCAGTGTAAAAACATCATTTTATGTTCACATCACCCTATGAGTAAAATTCATATTTTCATTTACTGAAGGGTGTCATGGGCAGGAGTAACTTTCCCAGAGCCACTCAAGAAAAGAAAACCACTGGCAAAGCTAGGAGTTAGAATCAAGAAATCTTGGTCTCAGGTGGCTTTTACTGGTAACATCCTACAATCACGGCTTGAGAGAAAAGAATGTGCCAAAAAAAGAGGATAAGAAAATAAAGAGTTTAAGTCAGTATTTAATCGATCCCTCTGTAAAAACTACTATAGATATGCCATAACTTCTAAATGTGACCATATTTTTCTTCTGGAACATCGATACAGAAGTCACTCCAGAGATTACTGTTTGCCCATCCTTGCTACAAAAGATCAAACATACTCACATTCACTGTCACATAGTGAAACTTTCTGTCTTTGAGGGATATGATCACTGTTGCTGAGTAATATGCATCATACATCTGGTAACATTAGATAATAAGCTTAGCAGTAATTTAGATATTTTCCTTGATAAGATTTTCCTAGCGAAAAATTAAACATAGATTCTATGTGCATGCCACTAAATAAAAGAAAGCTAGGACTCTTCATGACTCCAAAGTCAAGTAGCACTGGCTATTTTATTCCACTTAGCTTGGGTAGATAGATGAGCTTAAGAGTAAATCTGCCTTGGAGAGAGCTAAACTAAGAAGTGAGAGCGTAGACATCGTGTTCTTGAATTCCCTCTGTATCTCTCCTCCATGTAGCAGCATAACTACATGCTGAGAGACCAAGACACTTGTGAAGCTGGCCAGGAAAAGAAAAAAAAAAAAGAAAAGAAAAAGGAATAACATGAGGAAACACTATTTACAAAAGCGTATTTTTGTTTCTGTTAGTATGATCCTCCAGATAACACTTCAAATTGTTTTGGCATAACTACGCCTTCCTTCTGACACCTTCAATAGTGATGTCTGTTCAGAGCAGAGTTTAACCACATCCATCTGCAAAAGATCAGTCTGGGAAAAGGTGACGGTCCCAGAGGTACAAAGCTCCTTGAGATGTGGTGCTGGAGCCATTTGCTTGGCTTTCAGGCAGAAGGAATGAAAGAATAAAGAAAAAGGATTAGGGTCTTCTGCAGCTTCTCTATCCCTTGCCCTGAATGCAGACCAGAGAAGAGACCTAACTATTTGTTGGTACATTCAGTTAGGGCAATGGGAAAAAAAGTACACAACATTGATTTCTTGTGTAATTTCTTTAAAAGACAGTCAACTGTGAAACATAAATGCATTGGGAAGCAAAGTCCTTCAGTGCTCTGGTCAATGAAACAGATCATTTTTTCTGAAGAAGAACACTTGCAGCTCCTGCTATTCCTACTGCAAGCCCAATGACATGCCCAGAGCCTGGACACAACAGTGCCAGCAATCTCTCCTCTAAGCAGTAGATGACTCATTTGGCAGTGCTCCAGATGAGCATTTCCACTAGAAAACATAAAGAAATAGCAGTGTGGACCCTATGGAAAGCAGGGTAGTCATGAGAGCAAACAGAAGGAGATGACAAGAATGAAATAAAGACAATAAAGGAAAGGTGAGCAGATATTTTAGAGAGAATAGGAAAACAAACACCCAAAAGTCAGGGTAGAATGAGGAAAAGAACAAGAAAAGACTAAGCAACTGAACTAAGGACATAAAATGCAGAAAAATATGCTTACAGGAAAAGAGGTAGAGAATAACAGGAGGTCTTGACATTCCTGCATACATTGCTGTGGAAATCACTGAGAGTATGGGAAAGTGAAATAACTGTTGAGACCAATATCTCATAGAACATTTCAGTACCAGTCCTCTATACTGCTTGTTCTTCAGTATCACTTCCCAGCAGCTGTGGCCACATCCTCACTGCTGCAGAATGACTTAGAAAGAAAAGTCTGATGCTGAAAAGATAAGCAGGAAAGTGTCAGGCTACCATGAAGACTCTATCTGCTTATGCACCAGCACAGTGTCCTATCCTGTCTCTACTTCTGGAGATTCTAACAGATTGGTCATGTTGAGCCATTTCCATGAAGTGTGAGAAGCCCTTCAAACACATTCAAAACTCCAGGTTGCTTGGATCAGACTGGATTTTTGCTTAAACCATAAATGTAGTCAGTCTTAATCTGTTCTTCTGAAACGTCCTAAAAAAAGTTAATGGAGAAAAACAGACAATTAACAGACTATTAGCAAGTTTCTTCCCCCTCCCCCTCCCCACCCACCCTGGGTTCCTGTGTTTACCAAGTAGTCCTACAGTTAGCCCTAGAAAAAACATATCTCATGTCTTCTGAGGAATTCCTTTTCAAAAAGGATCATTAAGATAATACTGTCTCTTCAGGGAAAATTAGTCTGAATACCACACAAAGACAGAATAAGGTTCTGGAAGATGTTTACAGCTAATGGAAAGAAATTCATAGGTTCAGAGGACTAGAAAGGCAGTATACTGTTTATTAATTTGTAGTTATTCAATCAACTAAATTGTATTTAAGACAATTATAGAGTCACAGTGTCAAAAATAGCCATAAGGGGAGAATAAGCAAACGGGTAATAAGCAGATGGATTCAGCACAGGAGCACTGCATGAAATTATTAGAAAAATGATTATGAAGAATACATACTCACGCTTTATGTCCACAATAAAGTTCAACAAGTTCTGGATCCAAAAGAAATAAGGAACAAAGAAAGCACAGAAAAAATGCATCATATTTAATAGTGAGCTACAGGAAACTACATCTAAGAAATGGGATTATTTATTACACTCAGTTCTCCATCAAAAGGGGTGAAAAGTGAGGAACCACATTAAAAAAATAAATAAATGAATGAATTTAATTCAGGTTAGTCAGGAACTGATAGAAATATAGTTTATGATGAATGCTTCTATTTGGCATACTCAGGAGAATAGAAAAGCAGCTGTATCTAAGGTTATCCATAGTCAAATGGAATGTGGTAAGGCTTATCAAAATTCCAGCGTCTAGGGCACTTTTCTGAATGGAAAACTTTCCTAAGCTGGTATGTGGTCAGAAAAGAAAAGAAGAAAAGGTGATAGTAAATAATGCTGGAACTGACAGAGTCATAGAATCTTAGAATCATTAAGGTTGGAAAAGATTTTGAAGATCATCCAGTCCAACTGTTCACTTACCAACAATATTTCCACATTAAACCATGTCCCTTAGTACAACATCCAAACATTTCTTGAAGACTTTGAGGGATGGTAACAACTGCTTTGCCTCCAAGAAAAGAATGAGAAGTAATTTAGGGAACTGCTTTTAAGCCATGGTTGTCCAACCTTTTTGTTTACCTTTGTTCACATATACAATATATAATATAGTTAATGTATATGTGTAACAAAACTTCTTCATATATATATATATGTATAAAATTAAAACATAAAAAGGAGAGCAACAAAAAAAATACAACTAGTGCAATAATTGACCTTGATTTTGTGAAACACAAATCAAATACATATCACAAAACTCATATTATATAAAATAATATATTATTTTATATTTTTGTGAGCTTTCTGAGAAGTTGGATACTTCTTCCTCAGTGAATGAGTGATGTTATGAAGTAACACAAGTCCAAGTTTAATAAGAAACAAGAAAATTTACATAGGAGCTTAATAACAAAAAAAAAAACCAAAAAAAAACCATATGTCTCCACAGACATACATATGTGTAGGTAAGTTGAAATATTAATGACAATCATTGCATTTTACTCACCAAGCAACACAAACATGTGTACAGTAATGCACAGAGACATCAGTTCAGCTTAATATGTGTGGTGGGCACAAGAGGTGTAACTAGCACTGCACTGCACATGTCTCTCCACAGCATTCCATTGTTGCCTACACAGTTGGCACTTGAGTTAAACTCAATGAATTCATGAAAAATGTTATTAAAAATCACGCAATAACAATAAAGTTTATAATTTTGTGGGTCCACTCTACTAGCTGCCCAGGGCTGCATGTGGCCCATGGGCTGTGGGGTGGACAAGTCTGCTTCAAACACTATTAATGTTTTGAACACAATGAACATTTGAAATCAGCCTCAAATTTTTTTTCAAGCAAAACTGTACATTTGCCCAGAGTTAAGAAAAGTGGTCAGTATTTAATTCCTGCTAAGACCTGGCAGATACTGAGATTTTTCTCCTCCTGCTTTGCGTGGTCAAGTCAGAGCTCGTGGTGTTTTCCATGCACAACTAAGATACTCACGGGAGGAGAAACAAGCTTTGAACTTGGTGTTGATGCTGGGTTTAACAGGGCACTCCTGGAGAAGTGAGTCACCCACAGCCTGACAGAGCTGAAAACCAAACTGCCCACTTCCCAAAAGATGCCTTCACCAAAGAACTGAAAGCCAAGCTAGGTGGTCATTCTGCAGCAGAAACTGGAGCACTACATAACATGGCAATGGCACTAGCTGTTAAGGGAGGTAATAGAGTTACTGTGCCTGTAGGTGTTCAAGAACCGTGTGGATGTGGCACTGAGGGATGTGGTCACTGGACATGGTGGGGGTGGATTGGGGTTGGACTTGATGATCTGAGAAGTCTTTCCAACCTTAATCATTCATTCTATATTATCCTGGAGATGTTCAGGAAACATATGGATGTGGCACTGATGGGTGTGGTTAGTAAGCACGGTGGGAATGGGCCAATGGTTGATCAAGATGACCTTAGAGGTCTTTTTCGATCTTAATGATTCTGTGACTCTTTGATTCTATTGTATAATTGGCAGGGCTGTTCACAGGATCAGAAAGTAAGAACATTTAGCTTTTCGATGGTTAGGACAAATATCAGAAAGGATATAAAGAACAGTAATCCTAAGTCATGGTTCTTGCACTGTCAATGAATGGATGTGTAGTAACGAGAGTTAGTGGCCTCTTCATCTCAAACTGCTGTCTTGCAGTAGATAATAGTATAATAGTGAGCTTACTCAGATCTATTAAAAAATAGGTGCCTACCAGAAATCTGGAAGCACAGCCTTTGCTCAGCTTTTCTGAAGAATATGTTCTAGGGGTGAATTAAATAGCTTTTTTTTGCTCTTGTCATGAAGAAAATGAAGATTTTGAGCAAAAAATGCACTTTGATGTAATTTTCTTTTGTTTAAATTTTTATTTTCTTTTCACCCCTGAAGGCTTCATTGTATCTTTACAGAGAAGAAAAGATGTTTGATGCTCTTGGACTCACGTGCATGATTTGTTGGTGCATGATGTTGTTTTGTCCTTTGCATGCTGACCTTCAGTGTATGGGGTGTAAGTATATTTTTATGTAGTCTGAGGAACTGTGTTTAATTCCTCATTGTTAGAGTTATTTGAAATTAAGCTGGTAATAGTGAATCTAGGCCTGAAATATACTATACTCTCTATTTAACAATAGCAGTACTACATTCTAATTTGAACTTATCCTGTAACCATTTCAGCGGGGACACAAGAACTGCCTATCTCAAACTTGACATTGAATCAGAAAAGAATGGAGCTGTCCTGGCAAAGCAGCAAGAACTTCTCCAGTTACTTGTGTACCATGGCTGCAAACTTCAAATACAGAGAAATAAAGGTAAACATTCTGTTCATTGAGATAATTTATTGCACTTTTCTTGTTTACCTCTTACAGATTTCATTTACCTTGAAAAAAATTGCATCAGTTGGCTTTAAAATCTGTGACTGTTTGCAGTCTACATCTTGATCTATGGAAAGCTACTGCTGATGCCAGGGTGTATTTGATGTGAAAGAAGCTTCCCAAAAGAAGCACAGAAATGAGTCCAGTCACCCAAGAGAAAAGGAGGTGATAGCCTGAACTGCAGCTGTGCTGAAGCATGAATGGGAATGTAGCTGCAGAAAAAAAAAGGGGGTGTGAGACTAAGAGAGACACCTGGAGCATTTAGAGGGACACAGATCCTTCAGTTGAAAAGTGAATATTCCAAATAATGTAATGGATTTTCAATGTCTCAAGTTCTTCACCTATTTCTCAGTAAACTGAAATGAGCCTCTAGGACACATTTTGCTATAAACTCATGCTATCCTAACAGAAAAGTTGAGGAGACTGTTGCGGAGAGGAGAAGACAGAGAGACAGTTTATTTAGAACAGCAAAGCAGAAGCTTAATTGGAAATATGCTATACAATAATACACCATACTGTCACTGAAAATTTTAAATTTAATTTGTGGTCATCAATGGCTCTATGTCCAGGTGGAGGCTGGTAACGAGCGGCGTCCCCCAGGGGTCTGTCTTGGGACCGGTGCTCTTTAACATCTTTATCAATGACATCGATGACGGAATCGAGTGCACCCTCAGCAAGTTTGCTGACGACACCAAGCTGAGTGGTGCGGTTGACACAGTTGAAGGACGGGATGCCATTCAGAGGGACCTGGAGAGGCAGGAAAGGTGGGCCCGGGTGAACCTGATGAGATTCAACACGGCAAAGTGCAGAGTTTTGCACTTGGGCCGGAGGAATCCCAGGCA